TCTTTCTTTCTTTCTTGGAGATGGAGTCTCACTCTGTTGCCCAGGCTGGAGTGTAGTGGTGCAATCTCAGTTCACTGCAACCTTCGCCTCCCGGGTTCAAGTGATTCTCCTGCCTCAGCCGCCTGTAGCTTCGATTACAGGTGTGCACCATGCCCAGCTAATTTTTGTATTTTTAATAGAGATAGGGTTTCACCGTGTTGGTCAGGCAGGTCTCAAGCTCCAGACCTCAAATGATCCATCCACCTCGGCCTCCCAAAGTGCTGGAATTACAGGTGTGAGCCACCGTGCCCAGCCTGCTAATTTCTTTTAGTAAGCCACCCCTGTGTCTTGCTTAGCTCCCTCTTGAATACCAATAATTGTTAGATTTGGTCTTTTGAGGTAGTTTTCTGTGTCTTATAGGTTATCTTTGTTGCTTTTCATTCTGTTTTCTTTTTTCTCATCTGTGTATTTTCAGATAGACTGTCTTCAAGCTCACTAATACTGTCCTCTGCTTGATCCATTGTGCTGTTAAGAGTCTAGTAAATTTTTCAGGTAAGCAATTTATTTCTCAGTTCTAAGATTTGTTTTAAACATCATTATTATTAACAATCTCTTTGTTAAATTTCTCTGATAAATTTCTGAATTGCTTTTGTGTTATCTTGGAGATTACCAAGTTTCCTTAAAACTGCTATTTTGTTTGGGAGGCCGAGGTGGGTGGATCACAAGGTCAGGAGATGAAGACTGTGCTGGCTAACACGGCGAAACCCTGTCTCTGCTAAAAATACAAAAAATTAGCCGGGCATGGTGGCGGGCACCTGTAGTCGCAGCTAGTCAGGAGGCTGAGGCAGGAGAATGGTGTGAACCCGGGAGGTGGAGCTTGCAGTGAGCCGAGTTCACACCACTGCACTCCAGCCTGGGCGACAGAGCGAGACTCTGTCTCAAAAACAACAACAACAAAAAAAACCCTGCTATTTTGAGTTCCTGGTTAGAGAGCTCATGTATCACTGTTTCATTAGAGTCAGTCACTATTTTCTTGCTTTGTCCATTTCTTGCTTTGTCATAGTTCTCTGTTTGCTGTTATTTCTTGTGGATATGTGGATATATGTATATATCTCTACACTGAAGGATTATTTATTCCAGTCTTCTCTGTCTGGCTTGTTTCGGTTGTTATTGGATATGTTTGTTTAGAGATTTTTTGTAACTTAACCTGTTGACTATCTTTTTTGTTAAATCACTAGGTCATTACCTCTTTTTCAACACTAGATGGCATCTTGGCCCCAGGTTTGTTTTGGCTTTAGAGCAGTGGTCCCCAACCTTTTTGGCACCAGAGACCAGTTTTGTGGAAGATAGTTTTTCCACTGACTGGGGTGGGTGGGTGGGGAGGTGGCTTTGGGATGATTCAAGCACATTAAATTTTTTTGTACACTTTATTTCTGTTAATACATTGTAATATATAATGAAATAATAATACAACTCACCATAATGTAGACTCAGTGGGAGCCCTGGGGCTTGTTTTCCTGCAACTAGGTGGTCCCATCTGGGGATGATGGGAGACAGTGACAGATCATCAGGCATTAGATTCTCATAAGCAGCACGCAGCCTAGATCCTTTACGTGGGCAGTTCATAATAGGGTGAGTGCTCCTGTGAGAATCTAATGCTGCCGCTGAGCCTACAGGAGGTGGATCTCAGGCAGTAATACTTGCCTACATGGTAATGCTGCTTGCCCAATGCTCAGCTCCTGCTATGTGGCCTGGTTTCCTAACAGGCCATGGACCAGTAGCAGTCCGTGGCCCAGGAGTTGGGGACCCCTGCTTTGGAGCACTGCCCTTCCCAATTGGAGGAGGTCCCAAAAGGAATATCCTGGCAATGTGGGAAGGCCGGCTAGGGGTTTGTGCCCAGGTGACCTGTAGAACATACCTCCTATAGAGAGTAGTGTTGCTGCACAGCCACTCTGATTTGGTGTCTCCTTTGGCTGAGTTACAGAGCAGAGTCCAGGGCTGAGTATGATAGTCCTACCTCCTTGCTTTGTTTCTGGCTGTCTTCAGGGATATTTCTCTCTCTTTAGGCACTCTTGATGCTTTCTGTAGGTTGAGGCATGGACAGGGAAGCTGGTGGTCTGGTTTTTTTTGGCAGCGGGGGACATAGTTTTGTTCTTGTTGCCCAGGCTGGAATGCAATGGCATGATCTCGGCTCACTGTAGCCTCCACCTCCCAGGTTCAAGCCATGCTCCTGCCTCAGCCTCCCGAGTAGCTGGGATTATGGGTGCCTGCCACCATGCCCGGCTAATTTTTTGTATTTTTAGTAGAGATGGGGTTTTGCCATGTTGGCCAGGCTGGTCTCAAACTCCTGGCCTCCGGTAATCTGCCCGCCTCAGCCTTCCAAAGTGCTGGGATTATAGGCGTGAGCCAGTGCACCCAACCTGGTTGTCTATCTCAATCTCACTTTTTCCAGTTTAGAAATTGTGAGTTGGGGGCAGGTTTTCTATGTCCTTGGTACCAGGAAGATTGAGGGAGGGGATGCTGCAGATGTGGAAGTTCAGTTTTCTTACCACTTTGTCAGAATTTTTTCCCTTCTCTGTGGTCCCAGGAACTGTCTCCTCTTCATATTTGAGTTCTGGGATTTTGCTGGTGATAATCTTGGTGCTGTGTATTTGTGTTTGGTTTTCTGTGAGGGAAAGTGAAGCCAGCTTGCTTCTATACTGCCATTTTGGAACCAGAAGTCCCTATTCTTAGATACTTTACTCTTTTTGATCCTGTTGTGAATGGAATTGTGTATTTCATTTTTACATGTTGTTTGTTTGTTGCTAGTATGTAGAACTAAAACTGATGTTCGTATATTGATGGTGTATTATGTGACCTTACTAAACTTGGTTATTAGTTCTAGTAGGATTTTTTATTTGGTAAATGTTTTAGGATTTTCTCTCTCTCTCTCTCTTTTTTTTTAGACAGGGTCTTATTCTATCACCCAGGCTGAAGTGCAGTGGTGCAATCATGGCTCATTGCAGCCTCAACCTCCCAGGCTCAAGTGATCCTCCCACTTCAGCCTCCTAAGTAGCTGGGGCTATAGGCTTATGCTAATTTTTAAAATTTTTTGTAGAGATGATGTCTCCCTATATTGTTCAGGCTGTTCTCAAACTCATGGTCTTAAGTGATCCTTCTATTTCATCTTCCCAAAGTATTGGGATTACAGGTGTGAGCCAGTGTGCCCAGCCAGGATTTTCTATGTACAAGATCATATGTCCTACAAATAATGACAGTTTTACTTCTTCCTTTCCAATCTGTGTATCTTTGATTTCTTTTTCTTGCCATGTCACACTGCTTAGAAGTTCTAGTATAGGGTCTAATAGAAATGGAGGCCGGGCACGGTGGCTCATGCCTGTAATTCCAGCACTTTGGGAGGCCGAGGCGGGCAGATCACGAGGTCAGGAGTTCAGGACCAGCCTGGCCAATATGGTGAAACCCCGTCTCTACTAAAAATACAAAAAAAAAAAAAAAAAAAGAAAGAAAGAAAAAAAAATTAGCTGGGTGTGGTGGCACATGCGTGTAGTCCCAGCTACTCGGGAGGCTGAGGCAGAAGAACCACTTGAACCCGGGAGGCGGAGGTTGCAGTGAGCTGAGATTGTGCCACTGCCCTCCAGCCTGGACAACAGAGCGAGACACCATGTCAAAGTAAATAAATAAATAAAGTAAAAAAGAAATGGAGAGAGTAGACATCCTTTGTCTTATTTTATTCCTAATCCTAGAGGAAAAGCATCTCATAATTCACTATTAAGTATGATGTTAGCTGTATCTATGGTCTTTTGACATGTCTCTATCAAATTTTGACCACTTCCTTACTTTTTGGCAGCACAAAATATTCCAGGCCCGTCTCCTGCTCTCCCTGCCCTAACCCTGTAATCAGCCATTTTTCAAGGAGCTCTGGCTGCTTTTATTAACAGATAACATTTAAAATAGTTTCTGCTGGGTGTGGTGGCTCATGCCTATAATCCCAGAACTTTGGGAGGCTAAGGCAGGAGGATCATTTGAGGACAGGAGTTTGAGACCAGCCTGGGCAACATAGTGGAACTCTATTGCTATAAAAATAAAATAAAGTAAAAAATAGCTAGGCATGGTGATGTGCACCTGTAGTCCTAGCTACTCAGGAGACTGAGGTGGGCAGATTGTTTGAGCCCAGGAGTCCTAGGCTGCAGTGAGTTATGACTGCGCCACTGCACTCCAGCCTTGGTGACAGAGGGAGACCTTGTCCAAAAAAAAAAAAAAAAGGAATCAGCTGGGCATGTTGGCTCACACCTGTAATCCCAGCACTTTGGGAGGCTGAGGTGGGTGGATCACTTGAGGTCAGGAGTTCAAGACCAGCCTAGTCGACATAGTGAAACCCCGTCTCTATTAAAAATACAAAAATTAGCCAGGCGTGGTGGCGGGTGTCTGTAATCCCAGCTACTTGGAAGGCTGAGGCAGGAGAATTGCTTGAACCTAGGAGGTGGAGGTTGCAGTGAGCCGAGATTGCACCACTACACTCCAGCCTGGGCAACAGAGTGAGACTGTTCAAAAAAAAAAAAAAATTCACAAAAGCTCCCAAATAGCAAGACAGTTATCTTTTACAAAAGAACATTACCTGTCCTAGCTGAAGTTTTGTAGTGGAATAATTGTTGCCTATTCCTTGTATTTTTCCACCTTCATCACAGCTTATGAAGGGGCATAGGGGAGATAGATCATTTGGAGCCAGTGAGAATGAGAGTTGTAACTACCATGCTGCAAATGTTTACTGGGAGCCCCTGTGCTTTTTATGTGCTTTATGTGAATTTGTAACTTCACCTCCCACAACTACTCAATGGGGGTGTGGTACTTCCTCTCTCGTCTTTCCCGGAACGTTCCAGCTATTCTGTTTCAGAGTTGCATGTGATTCACTACTGATCTGTGCTCTGATTGTCATGAGTCACCACGAGGTGGTAGCTGCTCATGTAGCCTGACTGTGAGGAGGACCTAGATTGAGGAACTTAGCTACAGAAATAGGCTTGTTTTCTTCTAAAGTTGAACTCTGCCGGCTATAGCTTAGTGTTTATAAGCTGTTTGCCCGTTAAGCCCTCCTGCTCCCTAGGGATCATGTGTAGGAACAAGAAACACATTAGATCATTGCTCTATAAAATGTTAGATTATTCAAAATATTATTTTTCAGGTGAGGTCAATTTATTGGCCCCTAAAGTAAGTTCCTTGCCAGCTGCTGATTGGAGGGTCAGCTGATGGTGGATCCTTTGGACTTAGTAACAGAGAGTAAGGATGAATGCCTTGAGTTATCTTTAAGTAGTATAAATATGTAGTTAATCCTTTGTAATTTACGTAGTCAGCAATTACTCTTTATAAGTTTAGCTTTGTTTAAGTTGGGAGTTTTTGAAATGGGCTTCCATTAGTAGCCAGTACATAGGTTTCTACATATATAAATACCTTTTCTCCTGTTATCTTTCTTTTGATGTTTCTTCCTAAAATACTTCCTGGGAGATGAGCAGTCTGCTTTTTGGACCCTAGAGGCGCATATATACACAAAGTGTGCATTA